AGCTAAAATGAATAGAGAGAAATACTGTTAACTGATGGTACACAGAGGGGATTATAACCATTGTAATAAAACAAGGTGTATGATTTGTTGAATGTAGAACTGATGATCTGCCCTGTAAACTTTCACTCCATTCACAATAAAAATATTAAAAAAAAAAAAAAAAGTACTCCTAACTCAGGACTTGACTGTCACCTCACCAAGAAAACCACAATTACCTCTTTTTTTATGATACTGTCACTGCCAAGACAATGGTCCTAGAATTACTGCTGAGCTGTAACCTAATGATGGAGAAAACAACTTTTATGGCATCTACAGTGGGATCCAAAAATAAACTAACAGAACAGCTGTGCTAAGTGGAAAATAGAACAAAAGAAGAAAATACGGGTGGTACGTGAGCCTCCTGATGTAATGTAAGCCCCAGGTTCAAGGGCACCTGGGAATTAAACACAGCTTAACTTATTATAAGGCTCTCTGGTGGTGCTGTGAGTTAAGCATTAGACTGCTAACCGCACGGTCAGGGATTCAGGCTTCCCAGGTGCTCTGGGAGAGAAAGATGAGGCTGTTTGTGGCTCCTGTAAAGATTTATAGACTTGGGAATCCTAAGGAGCAGCTCCAGTGGGGCCTTAGAGTCAATAGGATTTGGAATTTACTTAAAGCTTGAAGGAGTGGAGTTAGATGTTTTTTTTAACTTATTACATTATTCTAAATTTTCACATATTCATTCTTTAACAAGTTTTTAAAAGCTTTTTATTGAGATTTGGGTGAAAGTTTGTATAAACATATGCATTCTTAGGAAGGATAAATGTCAATGGACTTCTGGCAAGATGACAGACTAGGCAGATGCACTACATGGACCCTCTACAACAAAGATATGAGACACAAAATAAAACAGACACATGAAATTCCTGAAGTCTGAACTTCAGAGGAAAGGTTAGAGAAGTGGACTGTTTGCTGGGAAGAGAAGCTGAGCAGGGATGGCGAGACAAGGACCAATTGGTGAATGTCAGCCAGATGCAGCACAAATATCTTGAACATTTGTAAGCAGCTTGGTGATGGAAGGTGGCCTGGTAAAGCAGATTCACAGATTATGGGAAGAGAGAGCATAACCATGTTTTCACAGTCCACCCACAACTGTAACCTATGCAAGCTCCACCCACCAGGCAAGAGCCACACCTGATCAATGGTAGACAGCAGCCAACACCAACCCAAACCACCATAAACCGAGGTGCATGAATAGCAAACAGCACACATGCTCCATTCTTTAATTACACCCACAGCAGATATTCTGGTGAGAACCTAAGAATATATCAACATATTACCATCAATTTTAGCTACAGGAAGAAACAGGTAAGAATGGCTCAAACAAATGACCAAGATGCAAAGCCATAAAATGTTTCTGAGGAAGAAAAGGTAAAAAACTAACAGAAAAATAATTCAAAAGAATGATACTTAGGTAACTTCAAGGGATTGAGACAGACTGAGAAAAGCAAGGAGAAAACAAAAAACAA